GATCTACTACTTTATGCATAGATGTGTTAAGAATTTTCACAGCGTGACCCTGCCTCAGCAGGCTTTATGCCAGAACAGGTTTTCCTCCGGGCTGACCCTATTTTATGCTGGATCATGTATGGCTTGTCCTCTAGCACCTGCTTAAAGCATCTAAGCATAAAGCTGGCAGCAAACAGAGAGCTGGCACAAGCACTACATCGTGTGTCTGTGCCTGATCCAGATGAAATGTGAACTACTGGGTGAACAAGTAGCTTGCAGTCAGAGTATGAATAGTTGTTCAAACGCTGTCTGGGAGTTCTGCCATTGACTGCCAGGGGCCCTAAATTTCTACCTACTCATTTCACGTGTTTAAAATTTTACACATGAATCATAGTCACATTCAGAAAGTACAAAGAAATGCGACAATTTCTTCCTGTCTCTTATTTTGCTGATCATAGCAGATTATCACCAAAAAAAAAAAAAAATTTCAATATCACTTTACAATGCTCATTAAATAAACTACACAACTGATCAATGAATATATGTTATTAGTGCTAATAATGTCACACCATTCCCACTCAATCTTTAAGGAAACAGAATACAAAACTATTAATAATAAGAGAATAGTAAATATGTGAAACTACACTGTCTTAGCCAATTATATGTTATTTAATCCCATCTCTTTTAACTTGAAATATATTATCACCAGAATCTCTAAAGACCTTAAGAACATATCTAAGTATATTCCAAACTATGGATGACTTTTTGCATCCTGCATTAGTAAAATAAATGAAATTTTACACTGAGTATTATTTATTCTCATTTGTGTGGTGTATAGATTGTTTTTAGAAATTACTCAGTACTTCAGGAATTTTTTTTGAACATGAACAATATTATCAGTTAAACTCACCCTATTTATTTTTCGTGGAAGTGCTCCCACAACAGACTGTTAGAAAAATTTGGCTCTTAAATTCAAGATAACAAAACAAATCCTAAACTTCACTGGCCATTGTGAAAAGGATTAAACTACCCTTCCTTCGCCTATACTCAAGCTCAAAAAAGGGCATATATCCTCTGAAAAATGTCAAACTTTGTTCCCAATAATCCCACAGGGATATAAACTGCTGGTAGAACAGATGTAGCAAGGAGAACCTAAGACATCTACAGTCCAACATGAGCTCTCCTCAAGGAACTGCATTTCCCATTAGGTGATGGAAAGCATCAGCACTGTCATGTAGCGTTCTTCACCCACATCAAGACTGAACCTAGTCCCAAGGCTACAGTAACTGGCAACTGCTAAGACATGGTCCAAAGTATCCAGCTTCTTCAAGGCAAAAAACCTTCTCTCCTCTGGTCTTTTCGGAATACAGAAGCTCTAAAAGGATCCTACCTGCATTTTCAACTGATACCGGGGTGGGATAAAGTTCATCTAAAGCACAGATACCTTCATAGAGATCAAAACTAGTCACCACGCTCAGTGAGGTCCGGTTATTTAGTTAGCTGGCCAGGTGCAGATGTCAGCTTTGCAATGAGGTGGGCTACCCTCTATGCTCCACTGACTGCGCTGGTGCATCTCCACAAACTACAGCAGGAGCTAGGGCAGTGAGTTCACATACAGACAGCAGCATGTACGCTGCTACAATTTGGTGTCTTCATCAGAACCCATACAGTCCCATGTTCAGTGTTTTCAATGCATTTCTGTTTATTTTTGAAAGCTGTTCCTATAATTCTTACTTTTGTTAATCTGATGTGGCAAACTCACAATATTTTCTGTGAAATGAAGGAAGAAATGAGGAGTGTGGAGGCATAAAGAAATGCAGAAGAAACAAAAAATCTCAAAATATATGCAAAGGCACCAAGGCATGCGTATAAAACGTAATCTCAGCAAACACTATGGTATTTTAGCAACCAGATGCATACATTTTTCCTAACTCTGGAAGGAAAAAGTCTTTTAAAAAATTCTGGAAATCATCTTCAACATACAAAAAGAGCTTAAATGGAGATGTTTCTACACAAACTCACCACTCTAAAGAGAGCTACTGTTACATGACCCAATGTTGATGAGGTTTGTGCCAGCAGCAACATTTTGTCATCAAAAGATAATACTTTAAACACCACTCTCCAAACGCCTTTAGTGAGCAGCAAAGGCCTATTTCTCTGAACCAACAAAAAGAATATGCACTAGAAGTCATTACAGAGCATGGATATGTAATGCAGTAATTTCATGCCCTGCATCTGTAAGTCTCCCAAATGCCATTACTCTTTGCTAAATTAATTTAGGTTGACTTAATCAGATGAAAGCACCGGATAACTAACATAAAGTAGAATTTCCTGAGACATTATTTTCTATCTTCCAAAACCTAAAAGCTTATGCTAATTTTACTGGCTAATTGTAACTGGCAGGTCACTTGCAGAGTAGCAAAAGCAAACCATTTCAGAATGAGTACTATAAATTGAATGTATTCATTTGTGATCCTTAACTCACAAAAATATTCTCCTAAGGAGGTTGATTTCTCAGATCAAGGCAATTCTTTTGTTGAGCATGACTTGTGGCCAAGACATATTAGGACATATATTCAGGTAAAACCTAGAAAAAATAAAAGCAATACAGACTAAAATAGTCCAGTTTTAAGTAGGATATTTGGAGTTTGCCTGAATTTTTAGCATTTTTATTTTCTTTAGTTATTTTCTACAGGCAGGGCTAGGTCACAGTGTTATTTGCATCTGAAGAATTTCTTTGAAAGCACTTGGGTTAGTATAGAACAACAACGGAAAATTTAGCCCATTATGAAAAAATTGGAGTTCATCTTTTGTTTTATAAACGCAGTCTATATGCAGACATAAATTCTCATCATTTTACTCAGACAAATATATTTCAATAAGCTTTCTGCTGTTTATATGACCAAGTTTGAATCAGTTTGCTACGCAAACTGAGTGAAGACATCTGTATTTATCCCTTATATTGAAGCCTGAGTCTCCAAAGTCGGTTAGTTTACAATCCAGTGGATTCAGTCACAAGGTTCTTCCTATTCCATACACATAACAGCCCAGAGTTCATTCTCTGTGGATGTTATCAAAAGCCTTAGCACCACTTTGAGAGGTAATAAGGGGAAAATCTAACTTATTTTTTTCAAGACCTTAAAAGCCTTGTTTACCGCATATCAGTGAGTCTCGGCCATCAAAACCACTTATAAATATATGGTCACTGGCACACATTATACTTTGCAGTCTAGAAGAGAAATACTGCCTAGTACAACTGGTAAAGACAGTTTTTAGCACCTAGATTAATCTTGATTGATTATGTCATACCACATATGCAAGAGAAGTTACAGCAGAGAGAGCAGTAGTCCCTTCTGGTGCACCAGGTATGCCTACAAATTAAAGCAAGGCTACTTACTTCTGCTAGTCCAGGTATGGTACCACAGACTGCAGCATCTGCTAGCCCTCCAGAGATCCCCTGTACATAGTACAGTTGTGAGGAAGTCCTGTTGTCAGAAAATTCAACACAATCATGCTTTTGATGCTAGTGCACCATGGGCTATCGATCATAAAACTGGCAGATTACATTTCTGATTTTTTTTTTCTTTGTAAATATGTCTTTAGAGGGACTGGAGGTTACAAGTTCCCAGTAACAAACCCACCTTTTCTTTGTTGTTTTTCTAATTTTTCTGTGTGTGTGTGTGTAGAAGCAATGGCTTCCAGCAGCTGCACTGCAAACTCAAGAATTCTTGCTTTAGATCTAGTCTCTAGCACTGTAAAAATTAAATAAACAGTCCTAAAAGTGATATATTTTATATATGTATTTTACATGACAGAAATATCAAAGGAATTCTGTTCTTGCTAACACTGACTAAAGAAATGACAGAATAAATCTCCAGCATGGGAAATGTTTGCTTCAAACTCTTGTCTACAGTCTGTTTAAGGTCCTTCCATTAAGTGCTTACTGGCGAACCAGGGAGAGGACAAAGTATTAGTAACTATTGCTTTGATGTTAAAAATAGCTTATATGAAGGAATCTGTAAACCTCTTAGTAAGGATATGCCTGTCTTATGATGCTTGCTTGTCTTTTTTAATCCTTTTGGATCTCAATTCAGTAAAATACTTAAGCACAATACTTAATGTAAAGCATAACCTTAATTTCCACTGGATCTAAAGTGTGCTTCTGGTTGATTTACTGAATCATAGTCTGTATCATTAACGTTTCCTTTCAAATTAAACATTTTCCCAGAGAAAGAGAAGAAACTCAAAATTATCTAAAGTTTATTCCACTGAAAGGAAAGAACAATTAGGAAGGCATCAAAACTTATGGTCCACCAAAGCACTGAATCTTAGCACTGAGTCTTAGGATATTTTCATGACATTCTTTGTTCAGGTTTACAAAGCTCAATTCTGAAGAGTTGTGGAAAAAATGTAAAGCCAAAATTCAGCAATTATAAAAAAGGCAACATAATTAATTCACACTGAACTGGCAATCAGTCTGTAAATAACAGGTGAGTGATGTAGCAAAAAGCAAGTAATACTGTCTTTCCAATTTCCTGTTAACTGACAGTTAGTTTCTGATGGGAGTTTGCTTCTTTTCAGGTTTGCCTCCTCAGATTTATCAACAAATATACATGTAATTCACAGCATCATTTTCCAAGCACCTTCTTGCTACACAACACCCCACCACACCCCCCCAAAAAAAAGTAGGTAACAAGAAGGCAGAGAATTAAAAAGGATGAAAAAAGTAAACATCTGTTCCACTCACAGATGCAAATAAATGCGAGACAGAGACTTTAGTGGAGTAACATCAATTTACACCTAGTAAAGCCTGGCCAAAAATATTTCCATATAGAAGGAACATATGATGCATAAGACTACAAAATCATTACAATGCAAATTATTAAGTCGCTATCATATGATGAGAGTGGAAGCATAATGCTTATTAAGATGGCTTTCACTTAAATGGCTTCAGTTTTAACAAGGTTTAATGCATGTCTTCACACAAGCTTTGCAAAGTAGGGACAACGCAAGTTTCTCACCTGAACTTTTATTGGTTTTGTTTTGTCTACTCTTTACTTGCTCAGTCCATAATGTAGGATAACGAGAAGCTATATCTACAAAAAAAGAAAACAGAAAAAAAAAATTGAAAATGTTAGATTTTTTTAAGTTACAAGCATGTGAATAATGGCTAGTTTTAAAGATAACATGGATCTCAAAAAGGAAAAGGGCACCCTGGTTTCTATTAGGAAAGTTAAAACCTTTATTCATGCAAAGGCATGAATAGTTCCTTTCTTATCCCATTCATACAAAAGGTCAAAAGAAACATTTTTAAACTATAATTATGTTTAATCAGAATAAAAATCTCCCAGTGTGGACCCAAAACATGTAATAACACAGATTTTGTGAGGTTTGCAGTGACTAGTAATGCAGCCACAATATAGGACTATCGCTGCATGCAGGCCTTGAGCTTTCCATTTAGAGCACCAAATTTTGACAGAAGCAAATAAGCCTGACAAAACATCAAACTTAATATTACTAGGCAACCTGCTGAGGACAGAATTTGCCCTTTAACTTCCTTATTTGGCCATACAGTTTTAACCTGCACTCTGGCTCACATTTAAAACCTGTCTCTGCTGAGTAGTAACAATTAAAGTTGCTAATGTCAGACTTCATAGCTACAGTGTCATCTCAGAACTTTCACATAAAATTAGTTACTTCTAAGTAAATACTCTATTGCGTTTGCTCTCTTTATCTGCAAAAAGGCACAGATGTTTTCCATTTCTTGCAATTTCTTGCAGCTGCCCCAGCAGTTACTCTAACTCTTAATGGAGCATTTGACATTGTGGTATATGGTCCATACTTCATAGTTTAATATCACACTGTTAAGTTCTTATTGATACTCACCTTCTTCATCACCTTGAGGCTGAGTCTCCAGCGCGGGAGCTGAGGCATCATCTGAATTCAGAATGGAAAAGATTTGCAAGGAGACTACAATTATGAGAGTAAGCTAAATAAGTGTATATACATGACTGATACTAATGATTTGCACATAGCCCCGGCCGGTAAACAAACAATAATTTAAACATTATAGGCACTACACAGCACAAATGTATTACATCTACAGACTACAGATTACAAATGGATGGATTTTGAGGTTATGGTTGATTGCAGGGTCTTTGATGAGGCACGAAGTGATCAAGTCGCTCCCTGGACAGTAATTCTTTGTTTTTAATGCTGCACAGTAATGCCTACAGATTATAACTGATCAGATTAGTATTTCTAATGTAATTAGATAAATGTGTAGAAGGGGTAAAACCTGTGAAAGCAAAAGGAGTCTGGGGCGAATGAGTGGCTGTAGACATCCTGACACCTTAAAATTAAAAGAAAGTTTCTTTTGGCACAGCAGCATCTATTTAACAGTCAGTCAAGCTGATTTTATAAGCAAGATTCACAGATTAAAGAACCAGATTATGTTTGCATAATTCTTATCCTCTGGTCAGCTGTCTCTGTCCATCCACTGCTAACCATTACTGCAAGAAAAGAGGAAGGAAAATTTACAGAAAAGAGGATGTGAGCAATTTTAGGTTCAGTAAAACACTGTGGAAATAGTGATGGAAAAGAAAAATTCAGTATGAAAAAATATTTAAATTAGCATTCTGTGAGAAAGAGCAGTATCTAAAGGCCCATCTTTACCTTATTACATTTTAATTATTTAAAATTATTGAAGATACTGGGTAAATATGACTTAGCAGGCCTTTGCTAGTATGTATTTTTGAGTCATTGTTGTTTCCTGTAACATGGAGCTAACTCCAAATCCAAGGCGTCCTGCAGTAAGCATCTTCCATGAAAGGGGTTTATTAGCACTTCTTGCAGTTTCACAACTGGACCAATGTAGTTTCCAGATTATTTTCCTGGTATTTTCACTGAAGCTAGAACTGAATGTAACAGAAGCTTCCCCTTGCATGCAGTCCTGATGGGGTAACACTGAGCAATGGCTTTAAGGCTAACACACACTCTCCATTTCTTCTTGCTACTCCAATTCAGAACAGCCTCCTTCTGTTCTCTCTGTCGTTACCACCATAGATTTTTGTAAATCTGTACTGTCTTTACAGAAATAATGCAGAGGATTTGGAGGCCCTCTGATCTTCACCTCTGGAGGCCACAACCTAGTTTACAGCAAATACAGATACCAAGTAAATACTGATAGCAAGCAAAACCAAATTTGCATCCATGGAACACTAACCTCTGTGCTTTTCACAAAGCCAAAGCAGCAGCAATAGAAACTTAATTTCCCTGAAAAATGGTTTAACCAAAGTATAAGGAGACTTCTTTTAAGGATGCTCATACTTCACATCTATGCAATGACAGGATAACAGACTGTCATTTCTCATTATCTTTGCTGGCATTTTTGTGGTGTCCTCTGGGTGGTGGAATAAGACCATTGATTAATTTCAGAGAACCCATAAAGTATCCTAGTGTACTGAGAATGAAGACATCTATTTAGATCACCAGCCAGTATGTGATTCAGAAAACCCAGAACTTCAGATAGTAGCTTACAGTAGGTACATATTAACCAAGAGCCCCGCTAGAAAGTCAGTTTGAGGTTTAAATGACATTTTTCTAATAATCTTTTGGTACATGATTTCAGTTTGTGACACATTTGATCTTATGTTATTACCTGAAATTCAGATATAATGCTATAACTTTAGCAATTATCAGCCCAATCAAAATTATCCTGTTGAACTTTGCTCAAGCAGCACTTAAAACAGTTTATCAATTTATTTTTTTTTTTAAACTCACCAGATGGTTAATTATTGAGTCATAAAACTGGCCTCAGGTTCTCCCCACCCAAAAGAAAGAAAGAGGTTTGCTTTTGGTCATCAATGAACCAAACATTTGGTATAGGATATCTGTATAATCTAAAAGGTATTAACTTCACTCCAGAACTGGAGGAGCTACAACAGCTCCAGAACTACCCTTCATCTGCAGGAAGACACCTACATTAATTTTCTGTTTGCACTCTGTCAGGTACATCATCTTTTAATTAAAACCTTTTGTGTTAAAATTGAAGTGGCATGTGGCACTTCATTGTTCAAAACAACATTCAATAAAGAGTCACTACCATAGAGCAGTTCATCTTCAGGTTAATTAGATATCTCACAGGTTAATTGCATAGATCTTCCTGGCTGGCACATGCATACCAGTCCATTTGTGCATACATTTAAACAGAAACTGTTTTCTGTCAGAGTTCAGTTGCCAAGAACAGAGTCCTGCAGTCAGCTAAGAATCAGAAACAAAAGATGTGATCCCATCTCTGACACCTGTGCTTTTCAGATAGTCTGAATACTTTCCTTGGATAGAGGAGGGAACTTCAGGGCCAGGGAAGATACTTTAGCAATTATCTTTTTAAGATTTATTCTGTTCAGTTTAATGTGCAAACTTGCAAATGTTGAGAGAGAGCTCCTGATCTCCAAAATTTGCTGCTGGGCATTTTCTTTCAGTATTGGAACTCCCAGAGAAAGTGAGGTGCACAACTGCAATAGATAAGGCCCGCCAGCTCATCTTCTCCTGTGAGTCTCTGTGGGACATCTTGGAAGAAGAGACTGTCTCAGGATAAATCTATGCTGCCTCTTGAGTAGAGTACCACACTTGAAGGTCTGGATCATGTCCCCCTCAGTAGTAAGAATGTCACGAACCTGCCTAAGCTTGCTGGGTTACCATACAGGCAGGTACCCCCATCCAGGCACCCCTGGTTAGTCCACAGGAACTTGCAGAGGAAACACAAGCAGGAGTTCTCTATGGTTATTTCAAAAAATGTTGCTGTGCCCTTTCATGCTGAGCTATGAAATACTTTTTACTACACTGACTTTGAAGCTGAAGCACAGCACTTTAACTCAGATAGCTGATCCTGTTCACCACTCTGTGATGGTCTGTAAAGAGGTTGTGATGTCTCTGACAGCATGACTTTATTTAAAGCGTAAGGAAATGACTGGCTGGAAGAAGGGTGGGGAGAGGCAGTTAGCATCTGAGAAGAGCTAGGGACCACCTGGGAAACAGGTCAGTGGCCCTTCACGCTGCAGGCTTGTGCTGGAGAATAGAAACAGAGCGTGCATAAAATGCAACCATGTCACTTCAGACACGAATATATGTGATGCAAAGGGAGACTTGATAAATCGTGTTCATTTAAGTTCCTTGCTCTATGATTGATCATTCAGGGTTCAGCAGCTCAGCCACCACAGTCACAAACCAAAATAAAAGATTCCAGACAAGTTTTATATATTGGATAGTCCATTCAGTTTAAAGGTGAAAATGAAAGTGCTGACCTAAAGCAAATGGTAACTTAAGGTTAGTGGATCCCACAATTTGTCTGGAAATACAAGCAGGAACAATTTTCCAGTATTTTGTAATTATTAGCCTTTAAAGAAGTACTGATTTTCTTAATCTGAAAGTGTAATGATTTACTTAAATGTTGGAATGTTGGATATGTTACAATGCTGCAAAAGTTCCTGTAAAAAAAATATTTCAATTAAATTTACAGTGACCAAACAGTCATTATCATTTGCATGAATATGCGTAACATCTTTAAAATTAATTTATGCCAGTGTGACTGACAGTAACATTTAGTATGATATTTTCAGCTGAATTCAAAATTCTTTTAAGTGTTTGGAGAGTGTAAGCATTAATTTTCTTTAAATGAGATGTCCCTCACTTAATTCTACCATCTTTTGAAATCGTATCAGATTTTGTCCTGCCAACAAGATATACACCATGATCTATCTCTAACAACAACAATCATCTGGCCATGAATGTAAACCATCAGATGAATTAATCACAATGCAGAGCAAAGTGCTTGGTCCAAGATGACTCAAGCACTGATTGCTATGGAAATAAAGTGAGAACTCCAGTTCCTGAGATTTTGGGACTGCAGAATGCTGTCTTTATCAAACAGACAGAATAATCTGTCCTCCAGGGCAAGCAAACAGTATGGGAAAATATTTGAGTATAGCTACGGGAAGCAAAGTTATCTTCCAAACAGCACAGAATAGCAAAGCCTGTAGGGCTGATTCTAGAAAAATGTAATCTCTATGCACACATAAACAAATACATGCATATATATGTATATATTTATACTCATAAATTTACTAAATATCTACAATGCAGACATAAAATGAATAGTCGTATGCATATACATATATTATATATGCAGCTATAATACATGATGGATATATATGGATAATTTAAAGCTATGGAAACTCACAGTGGTGCATCTCACAGCTATTTTAGTGTCTATTTAAAGGCCAACTAAGAGATTTACCTGTTTTTCCTGCACCTTCTCGTTGTGGCAGCTTTTCATTCACTGAACCTGCAATTGGAAAAAAGAATTAACCAGGAAAGTATTACTTTCATTTTTAATACGTCTTCTGAGGAAACTCACTTCAGCTTTAATGATTCGTTTTTGTTTATTAAAGCATAAAATATCAGCAAATTCTTCCCTTGCAAACCGAAGATTTTATCTTTGCCTGACTTCAGCAGTTGTGTATGATCAATTTATTGTCAGGTGCTAGTTCTCATCCACCACAGGACCTGAGAAAAAGATAACATTAAACACTACAAAGGCACAAGTGCAAGAACATGCTGACATGCTGCAGAGTCAACATCTCCCTCCCACACTGACCCAGCGAGGACAGGTCCTGCAGTGAGACACGTTGCCCCGGCACTAACCCCTCGCAGTCCCTTGCACAGGGCAGCACCCTTCCTATACACACAGTCTTGCCCACACCCCTCGGCTGCTCTGAAGGGCTACTTCAGCCTCTAGCCCAGTCCTGGCTCAGATTAAAAACTGTGCCTTTCTGCTTTAAATACCTCATACAAAGCCCTCCAGAAACCCTATGCTGGTGTGGAGAAGTGTGTGTGATGGGGGAGGCAGGGACAGTGCCTTATTCTGAGTTTGAGCCTGAGCTGGATGCAGAAGATGTCCCCAGAGTGGTGGCCTTTGAGAAAGGAGACAGCAGTGGTGGGAAGGGAGTTAAGAAGTTTGCAGGAGATGGGTTTTAACACATTATTCTACCAGCCTGGACTCCAACCCAACCCAGCATTCAGTCTTGATTTCAAATCATCAAGAAATGGAGAATCTACTGGTTTTCTTAGTAGTTTTTACATGAGGTAGTTGTCCTTAGAGTTTAAAATAGAAATACTTCCTTATTTCTTGCTTATGTCTCACTATTACAATTTCGATGGTTCTAACTCCTAGCTAGTTCTTATTGACATTATCTATCTCTGTTGTGTTAAAAAAAACATGTGTGAAAGTGATATTTTTCTCCCTGAAGAGCCACATGGAGTGATCAAAAATTAAAAAGCATGTCTGTGAATTCCTACCATGTAGTCTCTTATTATGTACACCTGCTTAAATGAAAAAAACCCGCATCTGACAGATGCTTGGAATTGTGTGACATATAATAATTTGGTTACCATTATTTTCTTAATGTATTTCCCTCTGGAATAACTGAATTCACTGGGTTTAAAACAAACAAACAGACCCAAACCCTGCAGCACAGTAAACCTGTTCTAAAAGGACAATTTAAATAAGAGAACCCACTAAATCATTCAGAACTGATGGTTACTTCAACATGAAGTTTAAGAAACAGGAGTCTGCCAGAGGAAAGACAGCTAGCATCACAAATTTGGCATGCTGATTTTAAATTCTCCATAAAGAAAACATGGCAATGTAGTCAGGTTGGTATGACCTTCTGAAGAATTCAGCTTTTAATACATCTTTTATATAAAAAATATTCTAGTTTAGATTTGTTTCCTTTCTTGGCAGTAGTGTATTTTTATTTTATTACATTTGAATCACCAGAAATTCAATATACATAGTGATGCATTGGTATTAATTCAGACAGGAAAAAGAATGTCATTATCATTGTAGAAATTATATCCAAGGTTATTTGGGGTAGCTTGCTCTAAACAGACTACAGTACTAATCCATGTTGTTCACTCTGACAAGGAGACAGATTCTTGGATTCACACCAGCTGAAGCCAGAAGATCTGAGCTTTTGGGTGCTTGGCTTGAATTTGGTAAGAGGCTCAGCTTGAACTCAAATAAGACGTTTCAGTTTTAGGAAATACTGCATACAAAATTACAGGTTCTTCTAATTGCACTAAATACCAGTGATCCAATTTTTCCTCAAATCTCATCCACTTAAAGTTAACTCTGTAGTTTCTCAATTTAATTTTGATGCACAGGCCTATAATTATAATTCTCATGCAAATACAGAGATTTTAGGTCTGATCCTTATCCACACTAAAGTGTTTTACACCATTTGTGAGTAGAAATGACATCTCAGCATGGGTAATGTGTGTGATGTATGACGATCATAGCCCCTTTGTGCTAAAAAGCCTGTGTAAAGCCTGCTTGACACCAGTGTTGTGTCTCTATGTACATTCACAACCACTATTACAGATTGAACTTAAAATTCAGTTTATACCTAAGTAATATAACACATTGATGAAATTTATGTAGTATTGCACAACTTAAACCAAATCTGAAAAATCTTTCCAGATTTCATTAACACCAAGATGCCTTCAGATTACTCCATCTGTATATGAAATGGTGAGAAATAATGGCTATATGATATTCATGTACAGTCAGGGAGAATTATTTTTTCTATTCTTTTGCTTTTTTCCCCCTAAATTTTGATGGAAAATTGATGGATGGAGGAAGACAGTAGCATTCACAGAAGATAACTTTATCATAATGAATCTAATTTCATTATGAAATGAATGCTCGGAAAATTACGTTCACTGGGCTAACATTAATTTTTTGTCTTAGGAAGCTAACAAAAATACTCACGTATTTTCCTACAATGGGAAATCTGTGCTCTTCACAGAGTTTCACCTGAAATTTTCAATATATGAAGCAGAAACATTTCTTGTTGTCTCCAAGCTGGAGGTAAGGAGAGGTTGTTGAGCTTGTATCATTTTTTTCTACCATTTTCTGAATATATTTAAGGTAGAAGTACTTCTAGCTTAAATTGTGATAGGAAGTCACATTTGCAAATTTCAAGGAAATTGTATCTTCAATACTCACAACTAATGCTCATATTTTCAGCTAGGCAAGAAACAGACACAGCAAATTATAACTTATCTGACCGTTAGGCAATACAATCAGCTTCCAAGTTTTCAGTGCATTGTAAACAACCAAACCACCACACAAATATATTTATGGAATGGGAGGCAGCAAGGAGGGATATTAGATTCAGCAGCATTATTTTAAAAAGGATAATTTAGTACCCTTCTAGCATGTACATTTGCTTAGCCATCTTAATTTATGATTCTGATGAATTAAAAAAAAAAAAAAAAAAAGTGAAAATAATCATGCCTTAGTTTATTGAAAACCCCACAATTCCACCCAGTTTCACTCTAACGATTTCTAAGGCACAATAAATCTTCAGGGAATGTGATGTGACTTTTTTAGTCTGTGATTTTATCACATCCATTTTCTATAGTTCTGGTCATATGTGACTGGACTTAAAAGGGAAGGTGAAAGTCTATTATTATCTAGTTTAGATAATGATTCCTGATCTCCTAATACAGAACATTTGATATATAATCATTGAATGCAGATATCAAGACATGGGAAAGTAAACTTTCTATGCTGTTCTTTATCTCACATACGGGTGTGTCGGACTCTGTATGTATAGGGGAAGTACTGTGTATGGGGACAGAGATCTAGATAATTTAAGGATGGATATTTTTCCCAGATAACAAAAGCAATATAATGTAAATTTTAAAAGTTCGTTGCCTTCGCAAATATGTTCATTTCTGTCATATTATCTGATGATAATACTATACAGACAGGAAGAGTTCTGAATTTTTAAAGGTACTTGTATTTTGGCCTTAAAAGATGATCATGCCATCCTAACTGTAAGGTAGCAAAACTGCTTCACAGAATAATAAAACATGTCTCCATACCTCTGCAATCCCACTGGCAAAAGCCTAGAGTAGTTAATAGGGCATAAAAACCCTACAATAGGCAGACACTGTATTTTCCAAGGATAATTTAACACCTGCTTCTCAATTTCTGCCCCATTTCCCAGGACGCTGTGCCTGTGGAATTTCTGCAGTTCCCTGCAGTGCTGATAACAGAGATGGGGAGCTGTAAAAATGTCTTTTTTATGTCTGGTGTTCTTTAGTGAAAGTATTGGGAAGACATTCATCATTTTTAAGGAGCTTTCTTTTTAATGCTGTCATGGGAATGTGTTTGATTTACTCTCCTTCTCACCACTGCTCCTGCAACAGTGGAGATTATTTCCATGGAGTGGAATAGCATTCTGAGATTTATCATGTGTGTTTTAGTGGTACCGAGTGTTGGTGTGGGAATAACTGGAAAGAAGTGCCTCTTGCAGGTAAAGATGTAGTAATTAAAGCAAAAGTTTTACATAAATCAGTTGGAGAGTCCTGCATCTTTTAATGCTGCTTATAACTTTCATCCTTCCACACCTTGTGTCTCTAGCAAAAAAAGACAGCTTCAATAAGAGCAACCAGAATAACACAATGAGCAAAAAATGGCTCATGCAGCTATTGTAGATAGATAAAAAATATACATGTGACGCTTTTCTGTCCCAGGACCTGAGACAACTTTAGGAAGCATTATGTTATACAGCTAACCAATATTAACAATTAGATAAACTGAGAGGCTGCTTCACCTATCCAATATCATACAGTAAATAGCATGGATAGAGGATGGAATCAGAAAACCAAACTCCTAACTGCCCCTCCTAAATTCTGCTCCATATTTCCTCTATTAAAATCCAAGTTCTTCCAGGCTGCCATGCTCTTCTTTCCTATTTCTGGATACTCATCAAAGTCAAAGGTGGTTCTACTGGGAGAAAATGAAAGGCAAGAAATTATCCCATAACTTAGGAACAGCACAGTTGTTTAGACATGTATTCAAACCTTACCTGAAATTACTGAAGAACTAACATAGATTTGAAAAGCAACACTGAACATTTTCATTAAAAAGAGAAATTTTCACACATTCCATGGTATCACATTTACTATGAGAAAATCATTACAAAAACATGATCACAATTGACTCTACCTGACATCTGGATTGTCTATGCACATTCTCCTCTAAAGGGAAAAGGTGGCAAAAGTGATCCTGGGAGAAAAAAGTCTGGTACACGCAAACTGAGAAAAATGCATAAATGTCTTTGACATGGCTATAGCATCATGTCTGCAGAATACACAGAAGCAAGCAAAAATACATAAACATGCTAGTGTCAGGGTGCTACTGCTACAGATCTGCCTGCAAAATCGAAAAATAGCAGGGTAACACCTGCAACTAGCAATGACATAGTGTATTAGACTGACTAGGAACAACAGTGTTGGAAGAAATGGCATCCCTGAAATACTGGTTAAAACAAGAGTACATCTACTCAACTTTAGTATATCCACTAATATTTTCATTGTAATTCCCGTGCATAGTGGTACTAAAGAAAAATTACAAAAGTGAATCAGCAGTGATCTGGAAAACATCAACAGTCCTTCTTGGGGAAAAAAAATCCCTCTGTTATCCTAAACAGATGGCAATTTTGCATATACACTGGGAAATGGGAGAAGGGTGCAGTCATGCTTCAGGCTTTCATTCTGCAATATAAGAGCAAAGTTTTGCCTTATTGTACCACATAACTTTCTGAGAAAATTTGTAGCTGCCTTCTCTGCTGAATTTAAAGGTTTCTCCAGACATCTTAAAACTGAGCCCCTAGTGACTACCGCTGCAAAAACCCCTAGCATTTCAAATCTACTTCCCAACTCTGCTGTAGCTGGACCTCTTTCCTGAGGGACAAAGGACAGAGTACTGATACAAGCAGGGCAGGAAATGTGCAGAGATAATCCCAAAGTATGTCATAATAATTGGAAAATTACAATCTTCCATGGAGCAAAATCAGATTCTGCATACTCACCTGGGCCCTGGAGCAGTCTATTTATCTCTGAGCTACTAAATTAAAATCAAGTGCTACTATCACGTTCTCCTTAGCACTTCTGTAAAAGTAACTTCCCTTCCCACCCCTCCAAAAATGAGCTGAAGCAGTCTAGCAGCTTATTTGCTATGCACATGAATATACCTTTGAGAGGAACTAGGATTTGGTTCCTGTAGAGATAGAATAATTCTAATATTAATCTATCATTTAACCTGGAACTACGCTGCTGTGCCTCCATAATACCGAATATAAACAATTTAAGTACAGTAACTAACTCAACAACATGTGTTGTGACATATCTGCCAAACAATTACTTGTTGAACTTTCAGCATAATCCCTTTCTCACTGATTGTCAGTGAAAGGGAGGAAGCTTCAAACTGATATTGCAGAGAAAGCAATGAAGGCATGTTTTAAGAGAAGCCCTAGCTATGAACATGAAAAAGCACCTGTACTCAAGAATACATTGAAGCACAAAAATGTTATCCTAACCATGTGTCTTCTGAAGATGTGATCCAGTTATAAACAATAACTGCACTACAATGAATGGACATTTTTTTCTATTTTAAGGCTTCCAAATATTTTGTATTATTTTTCACAGTTGACTGTTATTCCACATTGACTTTTCAGACCGGATCAAAAGAATTAGTCAGAAGAGTATTCTTTCTTGCTAAAGTTCATCTACAGGCAAGATGCATGGGAGATTCTGAAAATCATTTAAACAACATAGACCTTAAAAGTGGAATTAACTTCTTACAGGCTTTGCTGAAATTTTTTCAATGGTCTCTTCCTTTCTCCATCTATTTATTAAACACATCAATATTGTGGTTGAACGACTGAAGTAGATCAGACCAGGTGAATTCCCTCAAAGGCCTTAATCCACTTTTTTTTCAGCTTCATTTAAATTAAATGGTTAGCTTTTTAAAGCTATTTTTTCCATTCTCTGATAGAGAATGATGCTGCAACACAAACAGAAATATAATACATAGAGCTCAATTTTTTTTAGAGTTATTTCTGTGCAATTTTGTCAGTCTCAAGGAAGGTGAATAGCAATTCTGGCAGCTGTTCACACACTGGGGATTTATATTTATTATCTATGTCCATGAAACAGGGTCAGAAGCAAATTCCTAAAAAACAATGAACCTGTTAATTGTCCTTATGAAACAGCAGTACACATGGCAATGAATTTGATTTGCCAATTAATTTCTACAGACAATTATTCCATTATGTATCTTAAGGCTTTGTTTCACTTTTATTTCTCCTCTGGGTTTGGTCATTCATGGGATTTGCTGTGGGAGTTCATTCACTGGGCTATGTTACAAATCAGGACATTCACAATCTGTATTTTTTGCAGGTGTGGGTTTTTTTCTATACTCCAAATACTAAAAAGATCAAAAAGCAAAGCCCTCTGAATTTTTTTTCAATGTGTTTATGTGCAGAGAGTTTAAACATAAAGGACTACCTCATCAAGACAGGTGCATAGTTTCAGACACTGATTGACACATAAATATTGTACAAATAACCACTTCAGAAAACCTCTTCAATAGCTAGATTATAGTAAAAATGATGTAGATGGATCACAGAATCATAGTGAGGTTTAGGGTGGCAGTGACCTCAGACCTCATGCACGGCTAGTTGAAAAGCTAAACCAACTTTCTCAGAGCCATGTCCAGTTGAGTTCTGCTAATCCCCAAGGATGGGGTATCCACAGCTTCTGCCAGCACCTGCTTCTGGGATGAACCACTTTCCCAGTGAATTTTTTTTTTCCTTAAGTCTAATCAGATGCCACAGATAAACTCTACTATTCATGAGACAATGAGACACTGAGACCTGCCCAGCCAAACAAGTCTTACCAGGGCACCGGGGAGTTTTGTGGGCCACAGCAGTACCACTGATAGGACGACCATTGGGAGTGACACACCAGCAGTATCCAGTGTAACTATGGCATTGAACCTGTCGGAAACAACATGAATCACGCGCAGTTTGTCAGACATATGTCTGTTATCCCACAGCATTTATGACATAATTACAAAAGACTATTCCAGCAAACTATATTGACAAAACCTAGAATAATAAACCATAATGGTCCTAATCTCAGTCCTACATATGATTCTTTAGCATAAAGAAGAGTTTATTGCAAGCAAAGTATGGTGGGTCCTTCAGAAGCCAATGGAAGAGAAAACTATTGAAATATGCAGTTGTTTACACTCTATTTCAGAAGAGTGAGGTGCAGGTGTTATGAAAACCTCACAACAAAGTTCCTCAAGGGACACATAAACTGTTCCTGAAGCAAGCAATCTTGAGTTTTTTTCCACACAGAGAACACATTGTTCCACCCACTGAAGGAGCAGGACAGAGTGCTTCTGCCAGCATTATTCATATCCCAAGCTGTCAGAAAGGAAACTCTTGGAATTCCTCTTAGAAATCAATTGCATTATACTTCCTGAGATCCAGTATCACTTCCCTCACCATGCTTAAAATGAGAAGTCTTCTGCACACCTCCACAACTGAAATGCAGTTCAAAGGAAGCAGAAGGTGATCTTGATTGGAATTTATATCACGGGGTAAGCTTCTAACTGTGTCTCTTCTGAATTCCATGATCCAACCTAAAGTAAATTCATCTCAGACCATACGCTTGTGCAGAAATTCAGCTGAGAATAGGGAAGGATCCTGTATGATTCATGCTTTAGCACTAAGATATGGACTCTGGTCACAAGATTTCTGGTTCGAATCAGGAACAGATCAGAAATTCCAAGCATTTTACCATCTGATGACTATTCAGGGGGCTACAAGAATGACTTAGCCGTCTCAGCCTAGAAGAACAGGGAGAGTATCACATGAACAACGGTAATGTTGGCTCTTTTGCTTGCCAGCTCTGAAAAAAAAGAACAAGGACCTGGCAAAACCCATGATTTTTCCTTCCATTTTTTAACGCCAGTATTAGTACAAATTACATTTCATTTTGAGATTACTTTTGCCTTCATTACATTTGCCTCTTCTTCATCCTCTGCAAATGCACATATTCTGACTTTCTGGTCATGCAAGATACTGAATGAAAAATTGTCAACCTGACTATATGTGCCATCATCATTGCATTCTGGGATAAACACTTGTTGAAATTCCTTGCGAGCTTGTTCCTGGGTGTACTTCCTCTCAGCCACACATCTGGAAACATCTAGGGAAAGGGAGAAGATAAATCAGTTGGATGATGCAATATGAAGAAAAGATAGGTGATAATCTAAATTAAGGAAAAGGAAGAAGTCTCTGTGATTCACATAAAGAGAGTAAGAAATATAATCAGTGAAAACGTGCTATCATTTGTGTTATTTTTAAGAAAAAACAAAAACAAACAATGAAAGACAATAATTTCTGGACAATAATCCAGAACTGGGTAATGAGATGGAGAGATACCTGGAGAGACAACCTTGCTGCTCCAACTGCTGCCAAAGGGCAGAAGCCCAAACAGGATTTCTCCTATAAATTTAACACAGCAATAGCTGCCACATTGTGCCCTACAATATTCTTTCAGTGCTGACAGCAGCACCAGCTTTCTTGTGCTTCAGAAAAGGCAAAACAGGCAGCAGGAGTACAGCAGCCTTCTATTTCCTACTGTGAGTTTGCACACCATTTACTTCAGTTAGGCAGTGATTTCAGTTGTGATACAGGTGTGCCTACGAGGCTGGTAAAAAAAATAAAATAAAATATACTGTACATCACAGGGACTTGCTGGGGAGGTGATCCAGTAATAATTTTGGACATGTTTAATTCATATTATGCTAAAATTCAGTGTAACAGTTTATGATTTAGACATGGCATGAGTCAAGTCTACTACATGGTCTTTTTTTGTCCACTATGTGGTTTCTTGCACCATCTCCTGAATTACTTGGTACTGGTCTCCATCCAAGACAAAGTAGCAAAATTGACAGATTTAATTCAGTAGAGTTTCTTTTGTCTAATGAATTCTATTGTCTACTATATATACTTATTTCAATTAGGCAGACAAGGGTTGAGAAAAGACACATAACATAAGCTGCTGTACCTTTTTTCTTTTTGTTTAAAGCTGCTACAAATTCTACAAATTGCTGATGCAGAATCAATACTTCAGGATCTCCTTGAACTAAGCAATTTCAGGAGAAATGAGAATACCAGGCAAGCTTAAGGTAGTATTAATGATTTCAAGATGTGACTGGAACATCTGAATTAGAATGATCTCAAGCAAACAAGCAGAGAAATGTGCTGCTTCTGATGCCTGTTTTGTTTAAAGACTGTTTGACAGTAACTGGCTAGTTCCTTCTTAGGACTAAAACTACTGATTACCTGTGAGGCAGGGGTATTGTCATGATTCCTGAATATCTGTGCAGTTCTTAGAAAGCATGGGGACAAGCTTTATAGTCCATGCAAGTTGCACATTGAACAGAATCTGAACAGTGAGGCAATACTTTCACTCCTCCATTTGATACCAGCATATCTTGACAGCGTTTTGTCATCTAACAGTCCCCAGCAGCACACACATGAGACAGCTAAATTCCCAGTCCCCCAAGCACCCTCTCTGTGTCAGTATTATCCAGACATACACGCACAAAATCAGCATGGAAACTTGGTGCAACTGCAGAAGTCATTTGCACAGGATGAATACTTCACTGGTCATCTCTCCACCAAGTGTTAGACAACCCATCTGGCAACATTAGCATAAAAAATTCCCTGCAAGTCCTAGGCAGTCTGGTGTGGAAGTGTAGCATAATGAGGACAGAAATTGGTCCTCAGCATCTGCATCCTGAAAACAGAACTGGACCCCTTAATTCTAATTTTCTTATTGATTTTCCTTCTGGTCTTGGATTTGTGTGCACTACTTCTGTGCATTAGTTTACTCTTCTCACAGGAGCATTATATGAGAGTTCATGTTGGCAAAATGCCCAAAATACAAGTTGTTTCACTTTGAAAAAACTACGTTTCAGTCTTTTAACAACTTTATTCAATGCTTTTTCCTCAGAAGGGATATACACAGAGATGCAATTTTACCTAAAATGGACAGAAATATTCAACCATCCAGAAATATGAGGAAAAATAATAAGGAACTGAATTAATTTGTCCTCTGGTAATTTAATAAATTGTTTCATCAAAGGAAATTTATAGCCAAATTACTGTGCAGCTCAGGTAAAGTCTGTTAATGTATGCACTCCCAAAGTTTTTTGGGAAACAAAAAAATAAAGAAACATTTTTAGCAAGCTTTGGTGTCGTAAGCCTTCTTCTGAGCATGGTTTGGTTATACAGTACTTAATAACATGTGGTTTTAATGTAGCTAGTGTTTTAACTGAAAATAAATCACTCCTTTGTTGGACCTCTGTCCTCGTTTTTCTAGAATGACATGTGGTTTAAATGTCTAAAAGGAAAAGTGATATAAATTCCATCACATAAGGTCTCTGGTATAGTACCAGTAGGGTTGTAAATTATCTCCAATATTTGAATTATCACAAAAACATGCCAAAGAGAAAGATAAGTTCTCCAAAACTGTCCACCACTTGTTCCTAAACAACCCAATGCTCTAAAGGCCTTCTATTTGTGCATGATCTAATATGCTTTAAAATCAACAATGACCAAATTTAGTGGAATTTAAAATTCACGTTCGAAGCCTTATTTTGTATTATATAACCATGGAAACATTTTAAAGCTGTTGGGCATTACTGTGGTTCAGTATACCCAAAATAAACTCACGAGGAGTATCTCTTATCGAGTTAAGCATCTGAAACTGTGTATAGTCAAAATATTATTCCCAGTTCTGTTTTTTTTATTTCACCAAGGTATTACCATAGGGGAATAACTATGACACAGAGGTATGTTCCAAACCTGATAGAAGAAATGTATTAGGGTGGTCCAGATAAAAAGACATATAAAAACATTCTTCCTCAGAATATTAATGAATATTAGATTATTAATTCAGAAGAGCTGAATTCCTTCCAAATAAAACATCGCTGAAGCCAAAAGAAGTTATAATATTTTTTATAATAAATGTGTAAGATTACACCATCTGAGCATCTGCCTCTGTGTCTTGGTCGCAATACCTTCTAAATCTACTGTGCAATTTCAAACAAATTTTCCAAAGGAAAAGAAGAATTCAACAGATTTAAGTGCTGGACATATATGTAAAATAACATCTGAAAAAGGGCAAGAAGATTAATTCTTGCCATGACTGGGAGAAAGGCTGAAACAAGAGGTATCAGATTAGAGACAGATGTAGGGAAAACTTAAAGCTCCTAACAGGCAAAAGTCAGTGATGGGTAAGATCCTAATCCACAAGAAAATGAACCTTCCACAAGGTCAGTGCTCACATTTACTCAGCGAAGCCAAATATGGGACACTGTGCGAATTCCTGTGAGTACACCCAGACAATACTTGTCTACAGGCCCCTCTGTGCACCTTGCACAAGTGTAACTAATAAATATGACTCACATGAATATCAAAGTAGGAGGATGAGTTTAGGTTTAAGTGCCTTGCCAGAAGGAGGTTTATAGGAGTAATATATAGGAACTAAGGGGATACCAGTGAAGTCTCTCACATACAGATTCAACTTTCCTCTTTATCTAGAACAGAAATAATTCAGATCAGGATGGACCCTACTTATTTTGAAACGAAGACTGAGAATGAAGAGTGGTGGGACTTGCCTGGTACCTCTGTGCTGATTAATCAGCTCACAGCTTTGATTTTGACCATCATGGATCCCGACCAAAGCAGGCCAAACTATTTTGGGGTGAACAGTGTCACACTGGTGACAAGCAACATGAGAGCAGAGGAGGCTCCAAGTCTGCAAAGTGTTGGAAGGATGAAAAGCACTGTGCAACACTGTGCATCACAGGAACAAGTCAGCCTTGTTTTCCTCTTGTTATATTGGATATTTAGCTCTAAAGAAAAAAAAAACTTATTTATTTTTAATCTGTTTTTGTTTAAAATTTTGGAATCACCTAGCAGAAAAATAAGGGGCTTGAAACTGTTACTGATTTCTGACTAAAATTTCACTATAGTTTATTTCTCTCCCTAGCTTAAGTATTAATAAGGGAGCCATCAGGCTCAAACTGGAATCTGATATATGACCTGGTGAAAAGTTTGTTTGGTTCTAAGGCTTCTAAAAGGCTGGCTGAAATGAGGCCTTATTTACCTATACAAATTAAAAACGTAATTTTGCAGATATATATGCCCAGCTGTAATTTTGAATTTTGTCAATGACTCAGCAAGACTTTATCCTCTCAACTCCAGGTAGATGAGCTTTTACATCCTAGTAGCTTGCTGGGAAAAAAATTCTCCTGGCATAGAAACTGAGCATGAAGATGCATGAGCTTACTTAAATTTGCTCGCTTGGACTGTATTTGTCAAACTGGATTGGTAAAATGCTCAACACATTTTAGCACAGTATGTTGACCAGTGTTTGACTGTACCACTGTGACTTAGCACCAGGATTGCAAAGGGAGCTAGAGGTTTAAGACAAATACGTCTTAATAAAATACCTGAAGACAAAAATGGATGCATGGCAGTGGACAGAAATACACCGAATTGAGGAGAACACAGTGTTGTAGCTTTTGGGGCATGTCTTTTTGAATTGCCCTGGTGACAACTCTGGCTTCCAGATGAGACTAGTGTCTGGAAGGCACTGGTGGAATATAAAGCCATCTTAATCCTGCACTAAACTTCTATACGCAACAAGGAAGACTTTCACCTATGAAGTGAAGTAGTACCAGTACACTGCTGCAAGATTCAGAACCAGATTCTGTCACACATGACACCTGGGAGCACAGGACTTCTTCCTGCAATAGCACTGAAGTTAATAGGAAAGTGCAGTACCCAAGGAAATTCTGGAGACAGAATTGGCCTCACAAACAGCACTTGGAACTAATCTCATTTTATACCTTATTTCCACCAGTACAGCACCAAAATCACTGAGCTTCAGGAAGAAACTATCCATCAACTTCAACTCTGCTGCTAATCCTTGAATAATATATCACACAGAGAGAAGTTTATTACCGTAAAGTAGAAGTTTATCTTTAAAACAATGACACAAACTCATCAAGGGTGTAAACACCATCTCTAAAGTGACATTTAATGCAATTGAATTTACAGCAACTTTGGGGCTCCACAGGGAGATCTAACCCAGATTCTCTCATGGAAAAGTAAACAGCTTGCCAAAAG